CACACCAAATGATGTAGAATTCCACTATTTATAGAATATAGAATGGCCACCAAAATCTTGCCAGATTTCGATATCCAACAAGATTGCAGGCCTCCCCAAGATGGATGTCTAGAGCCCATAGCAAGAGTTAATTATTCCTCATTGGGTTCCTGCCATCCAGAAGACACATTACAGTGCCTTTTTCATGTTGGAAGAAATACTGCAGCCTACACATGCTTACAAACAGCACAAGGAGCCAATCAGCTGTGCTGCAGTACAAGGAACATAATGATATGTGGAGAGAGCAAACTGACAGAAAGATGAGCTCATTGGTCGGCTGCTTTAACTTTCACTGGTAGGTCACAGTGTAGAGGTGAGGAGGAGACCTGTGAGAACTCATTCACACCAGTGTGTCTTGTTAACATACCTATTACCACAATGCATGGTAATACAGATTATGTGCATTGGTAAACTGCAGTGCTATCCATTATAACAGCATTCCAATGCACCTTAATAAAAGGACAGTGTTCTGTGTGTTGGGCAAAAATGGCCTTCCCCAGTTTTGCGTGTGTTTCGGCCCATTCATTTTGAATGTGCTGTTTAATGCACAATAATCCATGTTGCATAGTGTTGCTCCCATATATATATTTATCTGTACATTTAACTGTTTTCTAGAGCTATAAGGTGTCTTAACACCCAAGGAAAAACATTCAATATATTGCAGTTTACCAGATTATTTGCAGTTTACTAGATAGTTTTCCCCAGGCTTTTTTTCTGTGCTGTTCAGCGAACTGGAGGGTTTTTTGGAACCCTGGTTGACACTGTCTAGTCTACGAGATATGCCCTGTGCATGGAGGAAACATGAACAATGTAAGGGGGAAAATTGTTCTCAACAAAAAGAAAATATATGATGTTTTCCTTTACAGTCCTCTTCAATCCAAAGTATTTCTTTGTGAAAGTTTAGCTCCACTTTAAGCATGTTGTAATAGCAAGGCTTACCTCTTATGGATAAATGTGTTTGCTGAATTTCACTTGTATTCTTGTCCTGTCAAAGCAGAAAAGGAAACTAATAAAATCCACTTACTGACCAGCCAACAGTAATATTACTGCTGGCCAGCAGCTTGCCCAGATGCACACACCCCCTGCTACTCTGTGCAGTGGTTGGACTTAGCAAAAGTTTGTCAGCAGGCTACAGACAATGATTTTGGCTGTAAACCTACTGAAGGTTGAGGGAAAACCACAGCACAGAGATCTGTGTGTAAACACAATAAACATAATCTAGCTTGTTCTTTCTTCCTGGTCTCAGTTGTCTTTCAGAACTGAGATCAAGGAGAGACCCAACCAAATCTGTGCAGTGTCAGTATAATTTTTCTGATCATTGCCACCTCTGATACATTGTCTACAACACCACAGCATTAGTAAGATTAAAACTGATCTCTGCTAGCACTAATTTTATTATCCCTGATTGCTTTTTCCTGTAGTCACCACTAGATGCCTATAAAGTAAGTGCCCAAAATGTCCAAAAAAGGTATACTAGTGAGGAGGCATGCAAGAATCTGAGAATAATAGATGAGAGCAAAGGAGAGGCCTCACCAGGGGTGGACTCACAACTCATGGGGCCCCTGGGCAATAGGGGATCATGGGGCCCCTGTGTCCTCACCCAAACCCAAAAAAGCCTATGAAAAAGGTACCAGGGGCATCTCATGGGGCCCCCTACTGACCCCGGGTCCTCGGGCAGTGCCCGAGTTTCCAAATGGTAAGTCCGCCCCTGGGCCTCACTGTCAGAGTCAGGCTCAGAATATGAATCTGTGATGCTAGAAACACATAATTATGCTCACATGCAGCAGGGCACAAGTACTAGCTACTTTTTATTCATTCATATCAATTGATGTAAATGGAGGAATATGTTAGGTTCTTTTTTGGTCAGCCCCCCCCCCCCCCCAAAAAAGAACATTAGAAGCCCAGCATTAGAAGCATGGGTTTTAGTGTGGTGGAAGCTTCTAATGTTGGGCATACACTTTTTCTGGCAAACATTTCTTCATCCACATCGATCGATGTGAATGAAGGAATCTGTTAGGATCTTTTTTTCCTTCAGCCCACAGGCTGAATGAAAAAAAAAGAACATTACATGTATGCCCAACATTGGGAGTATGGCAGAAAATCCTTATGCTGGCCATACATGTAATGTTTTTATAGACCCTAAAATGCCAGGATAGTTCAAACGCCCTCCAAATGATACCTTTTTGGAAGTAGACACCCAAGTTTTTTTAAAGATTTTTTTAAAGGATTTTTTTATTTACACAAAGTTGTCGGTTTACTATGATAGTTCTAACACACATCAAGGGTATATTTTCAAAAAGAGGTAATTTGGGGGGTGATAATATTGGCATTTTAGGGCCTCTGAGAAATTTAATAGGTAGTCAGTAGATCCAATGCGTAATCAATGTCTTTTGAAAGCCTGACGGTGTTCAATGGATTTTGGGCCCCCGTACCTGGCTAGACTCCTAAAAAGTCTCACACATGTCATATCCTCATACTCAGGAGAAGTAACAAAATGTGTTTTGGGTTGTAATGCCATGCATACCCACGATGCATGCAAGAAATATCTCAGTAAAGTGATAACTTTGTGTAAAAAAAAAATATTTTCCAGAAACTTGTGGCAAAAAATAAAGTCTTCCAAAGACTTTTCCAAACATTCTCACTTGGGGGTGTTTCTACTGTCCTGGCATTTTAGCGCCTCAAGCAACAGAGCTGCTTAAAATCTGTGTAAATTCCAGTATATATACCATAGTTTGTAGATGCTATAACTTTCACACAAACCAATTAATATACACTTATTGGGATTTTTTACAGACATGTGGCAGAAAACATTTTGGCCTAAATGTATGAAGAAATCAACATTTTTGAAGAAGTAGAAAATATAATTTTTGTTCAAAATTATTGTTTTTTTTTTCATTTATATACTTTAAAAAACCCAGTGGTGATAAAATACTACCAAAAAAAGCTCTTGTTGTGTGCAAAAATGGAATAAATTTCATTTGGGTACAGTGTCGCATGTCTGAGCAATTGCCAGTCACAATAGCACAGTGCTTAACCCCTTTGCGCCGGCCGCACGCAAATGTGCGGCCGCCCGGCGTCTGGGCCTAGACGCCGAGCGGCCGCACATTTGCATCCATGGAACTAAATACATATGTGCTGAGAGCGCGCGCCCTGCGCGCTCCCAGCACACATGTGTAGTACTCACGGAAAGGCCCCGCTCCGCTCTTTCGAACGGGACCTTTCCCGATCATGTGACCACCGTGACGCGTCATCACGGCGGTCACATGATTCCTACACCACGCCCCCACCGCCCCGCCTCCCGGCGTCAGAATCTCTTAAAGGGCCGGGAGGCGGCGGCGGCGTCAAGGGGTTAAAAGCAAAAAATGACCTGGTCATGAAGGTAGCAAAACCTTCCATAGGTCAAGTGGTTAAACAAAAGTGTCAATAAAAATGCCATAGGCTGAAAAGTACTAATATATATGTATCTTAAAATTATGGTTTTATGCTAAAGACATTAAAATAATGTAAGTAGGCATCAAGGTTAGCTAACAAAATTATACTACAGCATCCACTCAGGATGAATTCCAAATTTGCCACAAACTCATTGTAGAAGATAATGATATCCTTTCTCCTTTCGTAGAAAGATAACCAGCAGAATAAGAACTTGGACATTTTCAGAACAAAGTAATAAAAGGTAAAGTTAGAATATTATTGCTCGCTCATTTTACCATTTTAGAGGTCATTTTTGTTTTTACCTCGACTTAGAACTATGACACTGAAACAGATCAGATAATGCAGGTACGGGGTTGAAATTTTTAAATCCTCAAACAAAACATATGACCCTAAAAGTTGTTCATCACAGCCACAATGGTATCTCATTATTTTCTGTTTTTTAGGCAGCATTCTATATTCTTGAAGAAAGCAAGAATGGCAAAAAAAATCTATGCAACAGAGAGAGAGATGATAATCTGTTTTTTATAATAGTGCAGAAGTAAAGTAACTTATCCAAGGTCATCGCTAAGTATCAAAAACATGTCTCTTTAATACTTTTAAAACTTATTTTGTTTTGTTTTATTGCAAGATTTCCAAAGCGCATATAGCGCACACACACATTTTATTGCTGAAGGGTTGCCCGAGGACACATGATATGAAAAATAGGAACATTACGTATCAGATAATTTTTGTGATGTAATAAAAAGTTGTACATATTTTTGTATAATAATTTTTTATATTAATATTGCATCAAATTTCATTGCTAGGGTCACTAGGAAAAGGGAGGAGCTTACAAGATGAGAAATTTATTATGAACACTATAGAGGTTTAGTAAGGCAGAGTGGAAACCTTGCTGTAGGCTGTAATCAACTGCAAAGTACACATTGTTTGCAGCATGGTAGAACTCTGGACACTTTTGGATGATCTTGATATACGTATGGGGCTTTTGGATTGTGGCAACGTACAAATGCAGCTTTCTTTTAGGTGCATTTGACTTCCATTTGCCATCAGTTTGAGATGCTACTGAGATAACTTAGAATTCATTGACCAGTGCATTTGACCTCTTTTAACCACTAGCCTACAGGACCTTATACCCCCTTCCTGCTCAGGCCAATTTCCAGCTTTCAGCGCTATTGCACTTTGAATGACAATTTCGCTGTCATGCAACACTGTACCCATATGAAATTTTTATCATTTTTTTGTGACAGATAGAGCTTTATTTTGGTGGTATTTAATCACCTCTGGGTTTTTTATTTTTTTTCTTAAACAAACCAAAAACCACTGAAAATTTTGGAAAAAAAAAACATTTTTTCTCAGTTTTTGTTATAAAATTTTGTCAATAAGTGATTTTTCTCCTTCACTGATGTGCACTAATGAGGCTGCGGTGATGGGCACTGATAGGTGGCACTAATGAGGAGGCACTGGTAGGTGGCACTGATGGGCATTGACAGGCATCATTGATAGGCACTGAAAGGCAGCACTCATAAGGGCACTGATAGGCAGCACTGATAGGCGGCACTGATAGGTGGCACTGATAGACGGCACTGACTGGCACTGATAGGTGGCACTGACTGGCACTGATAGGCAGCACTGACGGGCACTGATAGGTGGCACTGATCCACACTGGTATGCGGCACTGACTGGCACTGATTGGCAGCACTGATAGGTGGCACTGACTGGCACTGATGGGTGACAATGAAAGGCAGCTCAGATGGGCACTGATATGTGGCACTGATGGACACTGAAATGTGGCACAAATGTGGCACTGATGGGCACTGGCAGGTGGCATGGATGAGCACTGAGAGCTGGCACTGATGGACACTGACAGGTGGCGCTGCTGGGGCTACACAGATCATCAGGGCACACTGATCATCAGTGGTCTGATGATCTGTGTACATGTCCCCTCCGAGGAATGCCGATTACTGGCTCTCCTCACGAGCTGTCAGTGTGACAGCTCGTGGGGAGAGAAATGCCGATAATTGGCATTTCCCTGTTTACATGTGATCAGCTGTGATTGGACACAGCTGATCACATGACCGAGCCGACATCTTCGGCTCTTTCCATGGATCTGTAATCCGTTGTGTCTGAGGGACACAGCGCACCGGTGATCGCCGCGCATGCACGGTTAGAATGGGAGGACGTCATATGATGTCCTCCCAGAACGAGAGAACCACCTTGCGCCCGTCATATTACTATATGGTGGGCAGGAGGCGGTTAAAGTTTGTATGGGGAGAGGAGTACCGCGGCCAAAGCCAAAAATTATACTCAACACTAGAGATGGGCTGAACACCCCCTTGTTAGGTTTGCAGTCGAACACTCGAACCTAATGAAAGTTCGACTGCAAACTTCAAACATAATGCAAATCTATGGGACTCGAACTTGTAAATTCAAAAGTGCCCATTTTGAAGGCTTATATGCAAGTCATTGGCCATAAAAAGGGGTATGGGGACTTGGGTACTGCCCTGAGGGACATGAATCAATTAAAAAAAAAATTCAAAAAGCAGTTTTTAAAGGGGCATTCATTTTTCAATACTTAAAGTAAAAAAAAGAAAAATGTCTTTATATATCATACTTGGGGGTTCCCATTAATCTACCTGCAAAGTTGCACATCCGTACAATATATAGAACCTGCTGCAGCAGGACTGACATTTTTTTTTAATTATATTTTAAAAAAATGACGTTTTAGGTCCCCCCTAAATTCTTACCAGTGCCTTGATCCGAGCACAGGCCTGGCAGGGCAGAAAAGGGGGAGGGGGGTTGGGGGGATGATAGAGCACCCCCCCCCCCTGCGGCTTAACAGGCCACGTTCTCATCCCTGTCAGCTTGGGCACACTGCATTGGATGCACAGCCATCCAAAGCAGTGTTCTTACAGTGAAGCACACTGACACAGCCCCCTAGTAGAACACTAACAGCACACAGTTAATCATTTGATCACCCCTCATGTTAACCCCTTCCAGCCCAGTGTCATTAGTACAGTGTCAGGGCTTTTTTTAGCACTGATCACTGTATTGGTGTCACTTTGGATGTCAGTAACACCAAGTCAGTTCCCCCCAGTGTCAGAATGCCTGCCGCAGTCTCATTATAAGTCACTGATCGCCGCCATTACTAAAAAAAAAAAACAATACCAGTATATATACCGCCATTTGTAAATGCTAAAACTTTCATGTAAACCATTTAATTTACACGTATTGGGATTTTTTTTTTCTAGCAAAGACATGTAGCAGAATACATTTTGGCCTACATTTATGATGAAATTTGATTTTTTTTACTGGACATGTTTAACAGCAAAAAGTAAAAAATATTTTTTTTTTCTCAAAATTGTCAGACTTTTTTTTTATAGCACAAAAAATAAAAACGCACAGGTGATAAAATACAACCAAAAGAAAGCTCAATTTGTGAGAAAAAAAGGACGTAAATTTCATTTGGGTGCAGAGTTGCAAGACCACGGAATTGTCAGTTAAAGTAACACAGCGCCATAACGCAAAAAATGACCTGGACAGGAAGGGGGGTAAATCCTCAGGAGGGAAAACGGTTAATAAAGAAAATAGGGGGTACATCAATTATAAAAAATTATTTTTTGACTGCTGCTGCAAAAAATTTAAACAAAATAAATGTAAAAAAATTAAGAAATCCAACCACTGGTGACACAGAAGGAAGAACACCTGTGACTTAGAATGAGGAACACCAATTGTGGAGAACATTTTTTTGCTGCTGCTGCTGCTGGAAAAAAAAATCAGAAAACCAAAAAAATAAAGGGAACCACTGCTGACGCAGAAGGGAGAACAACAATTATGTCCTAAATACTTTTGCTGCTGCGGCGGCACATAAATAAATAAATAAAATGTAAAAAAAAAAATTCAGAAAGCCAAAAAAAGGGAGCCACTGCTAACACAGAAGGTGGAACCCCTGTGACGCAGAAGGGGGTACAGCAGTGATGTTCTAAATATTGTTGCTGCTGTTACGGCAAAAAATTAAAAAAATTATAGTAAAATTAAATTAAAAAATTAAAAAAGCAGGAAAAAGAAAAGGGGACCTCTGCTGCGGCAGAAGAGGGGAACAGCAATTATGCCCTAAATATTTTACTGCGGTTGCTGCGGCAAAAATAAAAAGATAAATACATAAATAAAATAATAAAATTTCAGAAAAAAAAAAAAAAGAAAAAAAAAAAGCAACCTGATGGTCATCTAGATGTAGATTCTAAGTATCAACATACAACTCCCATTTAGTGTTCCCTGGCTAGCATGCAAGGTAGTACGGTTCTAGTTTGGATTAATTACAGTCTATACAACTGTATGGAGTATCAAAGCAATGAGTATTGTCATATGAAATTTCTTTAAGAATTCTCTGACTTTCATTTCATTCATATTCAATTCATTTTTATTTACCTCTCTTTGCAGTTTTAGATTGATATAATTTGATGCTGGGAGCAGGGGCGGACTGACCATTTGGAAACATGGGCACTGCCCGAGGGCCCGGGGTCAGTAGGGGGCCCCATGAGATGCCCCTGGTACCTTTTTCGTAGGCTTTTTTGAGTTTGGGCAAAGACACAGGGGCCCCATGATCCCCTATTGCCCGGGGGCCCCATGAGTTATCAGTTCGCCCCTGGCTGGGAGCAAAGTTTAATACATTGTATCCAAGTAACTTTGTAACTCCAGAATTATGCAAACAAATGTTAGGAACACTAGTGCTATGTTTCTTGATTAAGTATTTCCGACGTAGCAATTATCATGTTATCTAGCTGAACCAATAAAAAAAGAATACATAGGTGTCACATGTGGGCCTCTAAAGGTGTGATTGTAGTTGTCTGGGGCCTGGATATCATATTTTGATCTTTTGGGGTCCTGTGCTTTCTCAAGCATGTAGACTGTGCAGACAAGGACTAAAATAGTGAAGGAGCACTACCGTAGATGATTTAAAATTTAAAATAGCTCCTTTGACAGTTATTTTTATAATTGATGAATTTGAGCTGTGACATACAACGACATAATTAAATACCTATAAATTCCAGTTATAAAACAATGTGAACTCCGCCATGATCAGGGTTAATACAGTATTAAACTTTTTAATGTTTGTTGTTTCTTTTTCCTTTTATGACACTTTTCATGGCTAATTCTGTAGATGAATAATAAAGATAAGTCTTTGTGACAATAATGTGTGTGTATATCTTTAACTGTCAGATATCAATAACTTTAAAGAGCCATAACAATCCAAATATCCAGAAACTAGAATTATAATCACTACCAAGTAACCAGTACTATGTCCAAATTCAAGAAATTAGAGATATAAGCAGTGTCGAGTAACCAGTACCATATCCAAAGTCAAGAAACTTGAGCTATGATCAGTGCCAAGTAACCAATGCTATGTCCAAAGTCAAAAAATTAGAGTTATAACCAGTGCCAAGTAACCAGTACTATGTCCAAAGTTAAGAAATTAGAGTTATAAGCAGTGCCAAGTAACCAGTACCGTATCCAAAAACTTGAGTTATTATCAGTGCCAAGTAACCAATGCTATGTCCAAAGTCAAAAAATTTGAGTTATAATCAGTGCTATGAAATACTACTAAACTAAATGTGACGTTAATAACTATGTATGCTGCCTATACAAGTATTGGTGCTTATTCCATCCCTTAAAGGTACATCTCCTCTCTCATTTAATCCTCAGGTTATTTTTCTCTTGTCATTGGATATTTTGTTTAATCTCAGTGTATGCTGATGAGGTTTTATAGTTTTTTTACTTCATTTCCTTATCCGGATTATGTGTCTCTCCAACAGCCATGACAAGTGCCATTGTGTCTTGGCCTCTTTGAGGCCTTATTGTCCAAACTAATTGCATCACAATCAAATTGCTATTATCTGCATACCGTCTGTCATTTATATATACATATGTATATGAATTGTTGGGTAAACTGCCCTCCTTCAACTTTTGAAAGTGGTTTATTTATATGTATGATGTATACATGATTTGCAGTGATTCAAACTTACATTTGATATATATATACACAGGACATGTAACTTGTTGGTATAGTTTGTTATCAACATGAATCTTTTGTTGTAGGTGTTATATTAATGCATCCTGAAGAAGTCTGAAATAGGCGAAACATGCTGAGAAATATTACACTGGAAACATTTCTTTGAATAAGTATAACTAAATATGTATCTCTTTTAAATGAAAATTTTTAATATTGATTTAACAATAAACATTATAAATTTTAGCTTTCGTTGTTGTTCTATTATTGTCTTATATAAACAATAAATGCAGCGCTAAAAAAATTAATATATAAATTATATATAAAAAAATATATATAACAATGGTGGTTCAAATAAATAAACACAAGTGATAAATTTAAAGTGCTTCGCTATGATAAGCGCAAATAATTGCATGCAACTGTGAAAGTGAATAAACAGAAACAATGTTCATATAATGGTGAAAGTCTGACAGACACTGGTCAGAGAATCCTGTTGCACAGGTGATATCAAAGGATTTCGTGTGACTTTACTCCATTAAATTTGTGCAAGGGATATGATAAAAAATGTGCACTCACCAGATATGTTGAATCGTATAATGATTATAACGTCAGCTGGAAGCCCCCTTTATGTGGACCAAGCAAGCAACATAGGAAGAGACTGCCTTCTCTGGATCTGGGACTGCTCTGCAACTGTTCTCCGGATAGAGTCCTGGAAATTGTTTAGCTCGATTCAGAGCCAAGAAAGAAGGTGCCCATAGTGTAGTAATTAAATCAATTTATTATGGTATTAAAACAGTATCATCCACGTGGAGAAAAAGCACCAAAAAGCAGAGTTTTAAAAACAATGAGACTAACAAGCCACTCTCTAAGATTTGGCCGCCGGACCTTCATGAAGATCCGGCGGCATGATGTCATGGCATACGGCTTCTCCTTGACGCATTTTGTGCGCACGCACATTATCAAAAGTAGTGTGCCTGTGTTATTGTCTGGCACCTTCAAACTCCTGTTATTTTTTTTTCTATGTGAGGAGTTTTTTCTCTTCTCCTTTTCTCTTTGTTTTTTTCTTCCTTCTCTTGATAATTATAATCAGTGCTAAGTAACCAGTGCTATGACCAAAGTAAACATATTTTAACTAC